ATATTTAATACAAATAATTGCTTCATATCATCTTCTTCATGCTGAGATTAAAAAGACTTATTCCAGACTTATTTAGAGTCTTCAGTGGTTCATTTCAAGTGACTGCGCGATTTTCCTAGGGCGGGTTTTTTTTTAATAAGTGTATCCAGGTTTCTCTTTCTTGCTATTTTCTTTGGAGAATTTTGAAAAATAAGATATAAAATATATCTAATTTGTATTTGCTACAAATTAAAAATACAATAGTTTAAGTAAGTTAAAAAGAATATAATATTTTACTATAAAACTTTTCTATGTGTACCACTTAAGAGGTAATCTTTGCTTAATTTTAATAAGTAATTTGTAACGCCATTTATACGATTATGGAGATAGAATATTATTGATGAAGAAATATTAAACAATTTATAATAAACATTAGTGTACAACCGAATAAAAAAATAAATAACAACTCATATTTTCTCTCTTTTCTTGTTAATGTTAGGAAATGTTAGGAATCTCTGTGAGATTTAAAGCTCTTAACAGAGCTGATAAGGACGGGTTGTAAAAGTGAAAGATAACAGTTATATTATCAGTTATGTCTAATAATGTTATTATTAATAATGCTGTTATTAATAAGCTTTAAACTTAAGTTCAATAGAATAACAATGATAAAGCGAAAAGAATACAGATGTAAACAAGATCAAATTCGCGGCCCGAGCAGCACTATTAAACATAAAAATTAGCACTTGCGAGATTAGATTCCAAGGCCGGTGTTCGTAGTTGTCTAATTGAGAGCACACTTAATTGCAAATCTGTATTTACGAGCCATCATTCGACTGATTGGGTTAAATATTTCTTGCTATATAAAATAAGCGCAGAAATTGCTGAAAGACTCATGAAAATAATTACTTGTTAAGGTAAAAGTATCAAATCCTGAACACACACTTAATCCTAGATATTCTTATTATTTTAGTATTTAACTATGAATATTTAAAATTTTTAACATAAAATGTATAATATATACACAATATTATATGTGTATAATATATGTATAATATATACACAATATTATATGTGTATAATATATACACAATATTTGTATATATATTTTTTGGAAATTTAAATATTTATATTTTAAGACGGAAATAATAAGAATGTCTAGAATTAGGTACATATGCTGGTATTTTTACCTTAAATAATGTGCTATAAATGCCGGTCTAAATTTCAACTAGGGATATCTCCTTGCCCTCGGTAAGTTCGTTCAACAACCGGAAAATTGGAAACATCCGGTAATTTAACACACCTAGAAATAATATCGCTGCCCGCTTTTCCCGCCTTGACTTCTCGCTGCTCTGTCATGGCATTGACACTGATTCTTGCATAGATACGAGAAACACGTGTTAATGAACGGCGATGCCGACGAGAGCCTAATAAAATATTTTAAAGGCCAATGGAGTGTGATAATTGATTTACTGATCGATAATTGAGATACGCGCTTGTCGGCTCTAAACATAATGACTCGAATGCCATAACATACGAGGGTATCAAAACAATCGGCAAAAGCAAGATCATACCTCGCCAAACGTCAACTATTGCCCGCAAATCAATGACGCGTATATAATCTCAATGGTCCAAAGACCAAAACAATCGACACTATCAAAACATTTCGCAGGAAACCTGACTCTCTAATTGAGTCACAGTAATCAAACTTTTCTTATCTCCTTATAGTTGTACTGTTAGCTACTTATCTACCTACTTACCCAATTTTTCTCCTGCCTATTTCTAGTATCGTTAGAATATTAGAATAGGATTGTATAAATACATAAGAATATTGCAAAAAATTATTTCATATCTTTCTTAAGACTTTCGAGATTTTTTAAGGTGATCTATTTTTTAACTTTTTTATTTCGTATTTTTTATTATTTACTAAAAATTTGCTCTTGAGGTCGATTAAAAGTTTCGTCTCTAGATGTTCTCGAATTTCCAAGAGAGTAAGTGAAAGTGAAATTACCCAATTCTCAAGTCACTTAAACACTTAGATTCGGGTAATGATATTAATGAAAGAATAATGCAAATGATATCATGCAAATAATATCTTTAACAAATTAAAAAATGTTTTATCTCAATATCTCTAACCGTTTTCGAATTATGAAGAAACATACAAACATAAAAGAAAAACTCCTTTTTTTGAAGTCGATTAAAAACAAAATAGGAACGTCCAGGATTATAGATACGTGTCTAAACACTGGTATGTTTGCGTTATTAATAATTATTAATATATTGCTTACTGAAACTAAGGAAGTACTCAGTGCAGTTGGCAGAGCAAGATAATCAAGAATATTAAATAATTCTGAAACACGCTCTTCTGTAAGATTTGCTGTAAAACAGCTGTGTAATGCTAAGATAATATTTGATATGTACCCTAGCAGCATATATCAGCTGACCGACAGTTGGCCGTTTGTAGATTCTACATTGACCGCTGCAGATTCAACATTTGTCCAATGCTTTGTCCTGTTCGGATAATATTAAACATCTCGAGATTCTCTGTTTGAGATCCTGCAAATTCCATGGAGTTTGCGGGATCAATTTAGAACGGAAATTTGGGCTCGTCTAACGGCGCCGTGCAATTAGTGAAGAGTCATTACTCACTGTCACGACGGTCTCACCAGTGCGCTCTTCTCATAGCGAGCGCATTGACCCGTCCGATCATTCCCGGAATGAAGTGAAGGCTGCCTAGATTCTCCACTGACATCGTTGAGCCAGAACACCATGGCAGATAACGATCAATGGGACGTTCACGGAACATATTGCCGGTTCTCAACAATTACCCTCTGTCAAAGTGTGCCGCGACTTTGCGCGCGGCCGTAAAGCTTTACGACTTTTCCACCGACGCCGCCGACGTGAAGTCACCGCGAAAATTATCGCGAAAAATTGCTGCCCCGATTTGCGCCTTTCATCGCGACACTTTTCATTCCCTCCCCTCGTCCTCCTCCTGACACCTTCAATAGCCGTCGCGAATTTTTTCCGCTTGCCCCCGCAAATCGCTCGTTTTTCTCCATGTGGTCGATAACCCGCGCCCCCGTTCACCCCCGACTCGCCGTGGGTGAACTGAAGTGACCAAAGCGGGTTAGGCGCCAGGTAGTCTGAGACGAGGAAAGCATATGTGCGCGCAACCGGTTCCATCGAGAAGCGCGTTAACCGACTATGACGCGGACTCTCGTTATCATAAAATTACGGCGGAACATCGAGCAGTGTGGGTACACACAGCTGACTGGTATCAACGAATGGCCAGGTGGCACGCGCAACCACGTGTAGCTCTTCAGCAAGTCGACTCGGGAAACTGGCGTGGAAACTTGTTCACACGAGCCACAATAGACTCGTCACACCTGTCGTAGGTAGTACATTAAATTGCAGGGTAAATTCACTGAAATGATGACGTGGCTATTTGTCAGAGGAATTTGAATCCTTCTTTCTCTCTGTTTATTGTAATTGGTCCAATACTCTCGCTTTGGACCGAAAAACACATCGGCGAGGGTTAATTCTGCAAAAAACAACTCTTTGTGTGAGTTTTATCATTATATAGAGAATAATTTGCGCACGAATATCTGTGTCTATTGGCTCGTGTTGGTCTAATTAAAAGATAGAAAAACTCATAAGCAATGAAGAGTATATCCTTCTCCAAATTCTGAAACTCATATTTACAAAATAATTAATAGATACATACTTCTTTTTATTAAGTAAGACGTTTAGTTTATAGGAGAACAGTTTCATTCCTTAAGCTTGAATCCCAGTTGATAAAAAAATAAGTATCACAATCTTGTTTACAATTTAATTTATATTCAATGTAAACATCAACCAATAGTAACATTGCATTAATATTATAATTTTCCATTCAACAATATGATATATACACAATATCGTTCTTACGTCAGGATGCGACTTTCTTCTCACGAATGAATTGTCTATCCGGTCGATCGTTCGGATCTTTTTTCGGCACACCAATTCTCGTTATTGGTTTCGTACTCGCTGTATCACGCATATTGTCACGTTTGAGGATAAAATCGTCGGCAGCGGATGAAATGGCTGAGATGGAAACGAGCTGTTCGATCGCAGAGAGAATTATACACGACTTGATCATGTATAAATATTAAAAGAAAAAATCAATTAAGAAGATTTTAAAATGGCCAAAAAACACATCACGAAGATGTAGATTACATAAAAATGTAAACAAAAATGTAAACAATCAATTAAGAAAATTATGGAAAAATCAAAAATACCTTATGAATAGGTCATCCCAAAATGTCAAAAGAGAAAATCAATTAAAGGCCGACTTTCTCACTAGATTAACTTAAATTTAAATTTAAACTCTTTTCAAGAACATTATTAAAACAAAATTTAAATTTAAATCTAAGTTTAGACTTTTATTAAATATCGGCCTTTAGAGGATTATAAAAAAATCGAAAATTATCATATTATTGTACATATGCTGTACACAACAGTCATATTGTTGAGTGAGAAATTATAACACACGAAAGAGAGAGAGAGGAAAAGAATAAAAATATTTATTGAATGGATATTAATATATAGCGCATATTTACATGAACCTAAATTCTTTCATTTAAATAGAATAAAAACAATTGCTTTTATAAGAAACAATGCACACGATGTGTGTGGTTAGAAAAGTATCTATTCTCATCTGAAAGGAATTTTTTTTCGATGTAAAAATATGTATATTAGTATAACTAGATATATTATTAGATATATTATTAATTAGATATATTATTAATATTTGAATAAATATTTCTTATATTTTTTAGATAATTTTCTCTCAGTATATTAAGTTGCATCAAAATTGGCATGCATCTCACAGGTGGTATTCTCTGTTAAATAAAATATTGAATACTGTCACGAACTCAAGAATTTGGAATATTGTCATCCTCACAAAAACCACAAAAACCGCTCGCACAATTTTATTTTTACATAAAAGAAAAAAAAATAAGGTACGTTACACTTGTGCGTTTCAGGTGTCCTTGCCTTCATAAATTGTTGGGACGTCGCGTGGGCGACGAGAGTGCAGGACATCTTCACGTACGCCAAGCTCCTCGCTCTCTTCATCATTATCTGCACCGGAGCGTATCAGCTTAGCACCGGTGAGTATATCGATTTCTGCGATAAATAAATAAATTTCTGCAATAGGAGATTACAAAACAAATTAGCAGGATGGTCATATCATATTTTTATAATCGGTCATAATTGATTGTCTGAGAGGTTGTAACTTCGAAATTCTGAAATATGGGACATCTAGTTCCGGTCTGTCCTTCATTTCGACGAGACGGTATCACTCAATGTATGCATACGATAAGTCGATTATACAAAACGGATAAGCTCGGAGAGATCGCATTAAAGGGTTAAAGGTTAATGACACCGGCATTCGAGCACGCTCGCGTGCGGTTCACCGCCAATTTGCGCTGGCAGTTGCAACAATTTCGAGCGACGCTAATCGGCGCGCGTGATGCCATTACGTTTCCCTGGGTTTTTATTGCAGAGCGATCTTTCTCGTTTCGCAAAGCGAGCGAACGCTCTCGATAGAGAGAGCTCCCGCTGAAGTACTGAAGTTCTCGTATTACTTTCGAAAGCGGGTAAAAAGAATCGTTCTTATGCCACGAACGCGACTTTCTCCTCACGAATGAATTGTCTATCCGGTCGATCATTCGGATCTTTTTTCAGCACGCCAACTCTCGTTATTGGTTTCGTACTCGCGTATTACGCATATTGTCACGTTCGAGGATAAAATCGTCGGCAGCGGATGAAATGACTGAGATGGAAACGAACTGTTCGATCGCAGAGAGAATTATACACGACTTGATCATGTATAAATATTAAAAGAAAAAATCAATTAAGAGGGTTTTAAAACGGCCGAAAAACACATCACGAAGATATACTATAGATTACATAAAAATGTAAACGATCAATTAAGAAAATTATGGAAAAATCAAAAATACCTTATGAATAGGTCATCCCAAAATGTCAAAAGAGAAGATCAATTAAAGGCCGACTTTCTCACTAGATTAATTTAAATTTAAATTTAAACTCTTTTCAAGAACATTATTAAAACAAAATTTAAATTTAAATCTAAGTTTAGACTTTTATTAAATATCTTTAGAGGATTATAAAAAAATCGAAAATTATCTTGAAGATAGGATACATCACATAAAAAAATAAGAAAGAAAATAGCAATTAGAGTATTTTAAAAGTATTGAGAAATGTCTTGAAGATTAACCTCATCACGTAAAAATATAAGAAGAAGAGACTAATTAAGAGAATTCTAAAAGTATTGAAAAATATCTTGAAGGTAGACATCACGCAAAAAGATAAGAAGAGAAGACCAATTAAGAGAGTTTTAAAAGTATTGAAAAATATCTTGAAGATAGACTTCATCACGTAAAAGATATAAGTGAAGACCAATTAAGAGAGTTTTAAAAATACTGAAAAATATCTTGAAGATAGACTTCATTACGTAAAAGATATAAGTGAAGACTAATTAAGATAATTCTAAAAATATTGAAAAATATCTTGAAGATAGGCTTCATCACGTAAAAATAAAAGAAAAGGAGAACAATTAAGGGAGAAAAAATTCTAAAAATGTCTTGAAGATAGACATTTTGAAAATAGACGATTGAAGATCATATAAAAAATAAAAAGAGGAATACAATTAAGAAAATTCTAAAAATATTGAAAAATATCTCGAGGGCGGGTTTTACGATAATTTTCAGTTGATCTTTCATCCGCGAGCGATGTATCCTCTGTTTAATTAAATTCCTTGCTTTACCATCGAAAGCTTTACCATACAATTGCTCAATTCAAACAACACTATGTTCCTCGCGAGCGAGCTTCGGACGAATCGAAGAGTGAGAAGTTCATTATCTATTTATGTGAATGAGAAAAATTAGGGGAAAGGGACCGGCTGTCCAACGGAAGTCGGGCGTCTTTTCAGCATTGTACACTTGCCGGACGAGACAATTTGTCCAATCAAAAAGGTGGGTTAAATATGCAGGCGATGCGACGTGGCCGGCGTGTGCGTGCAAGGAATCGCTTAAATTGGACTATTCAGCGAACCAAATGGTTCTTCGACCATCGTGCCACCGTCTCAGTTCTGACGAACCTTTCTTCGACCTTGTACACCGTGCGACTGAACTCACCTTTTTCGTTGGCAATTCCGTTCACGGAGTTTCATACAATCGCGCTCTTCCATCTTACGCAACGCGGACGTCACACACATGTTGAATCGTATGGAAAAAAATTCACGTAAAAATACATACACATAAACGCGCCGGAGAAAATTGCTAATATCGAAGATATATATTCTAAATATATTTAGAATATTGTGAACGATGATACCTACATGTTTCCACGAAGTCTCTCAAAGTAAAAATACCAACGCCTGTGGAGATTGATAACGTTAATTAATCTTGCAAATAACTACGTATATTGATTGTTGCAATGATTGTCGTGTGCGATTATCTGCCAAACTTCTTTAATTGATAACTCAAAAATCGACATGGTTATTTGCAAAACGATAGAGGATCTTTTTATTTAGTTTGATCTAACCTACAAAGATATAAAGACGCAACTCCCCAGATAGCACACAATATTTACAAAATATTTTAGAAATATAGATATTAAATATTTTATAAATATTCAAATGTCCGGGATTTTCAGGTATAAAAAAGACTATAATAAATATTTAAAAATATTTATGAAAAACATTTCTCATAAATACTTTTATGAAAAAGATTATAATTTATGAAGGATTTATGATAAATACTTTTCACAAATATTTTTAAATATTTATCATAGTTTTTTTCATACCAGAAAATCTCGGACATTAGAATATTTATAAAATATTTAATATCTATATTTCTAAAATATTTTGTAAATATTGTGTGCTGTCTGAGTCATCCAGCATATCTACGCATTTGCCAATTAATTTTTTTTAATTAATAGCTCAAAATTTTACGTGGTTATTTGCAAAACGTTAGAGGAATTTTGTGTTTATTTTAACCTAATCTACATGTACACGAGTCTTTCAGGTTGTATATTCAATACATATATACATATTCTATGCTGGAATTTTAAACATTCGTATTTAGAGACCAAAACAGTATCCAATATTAGATGTTATTAGTATTATTAGTGTTCAAACATTGGTACTTTTATCATACATACTTTCACATCTCATTAAATGAAAACTCTAATTTACGTCAGTGACGTCCTGTCGTTTCCATTTTCTCAGGACACACGGAGCACTTCACGTTCGAGAACACTAACACGGAAGTCACGTCTATAGCACTCAGCTTTTATTCGGGGTTGTTCGCTTATAACGGTTGGAACTACTTGAACTTCATAATTGAGGAACTCAAGGATCCCGTTAGGTGAGTGCTGCAGTTTTCGTCTCGCGACAGCGACGCGAGCGTGGGTGCAATTAAAAAATTGCTTTTTCCATATTAAACTGTCCGAAAATATTCCGCTTGCATCAGAGAGAGAAATATGCGACTCTTGAACTTTTGTCTATTTAGGAATCTACCGAAAGGAATCGCTATCTCGTGCTCTCTCGTTACGGTTGTCTACGTTTTCACAAACATGGCCTTCTACACGACGCTGAGCCCCGTCGAGGTGCTTGGTAGCGAAGCTGTGGCAGTCGTGAGTAATCGCGAATGCACAATCAACGCGTTAACATTCATTTTACCATTCCGTTTATTATCTTTCGTCTCTTCTCATTTACAAATTTTCCATCTTTTCGTTAATCCGTATACACATGCACACAATACGCACACACTTTTCCCTTTTCCTTCATATTTACCTTTCTTTTTCTACTCGTTTAATCTGTACCTTCTTTTCTTTCTTTTTACATTGTACTTGATTTACATTGTAGATGTCTCTCAATATTCTTTTTGACAGTGTATCAATGTTAATCTAACAGGATGTTATCCTGTCAGAGAATAATGGATCGTTTAACTAATTTTCTATTCTACTCTACTCTGCGCGGAGAAAATTTTAAGGTCCGCCTACAATGCCGTCGTAGTTACGTTTCAAAGTCGTGATCTGGCCCGCCGTGATGGTACACAGAGAGAACGATTCAAATAAATGTTTCTTTAGAATAGTCCAAATGAATTATTTAGTTGACACAACAAAAATATTTCTTTGGAACTAAGCCGCCAATAAATATTTTTCTTGCTTCAAACAAAATTTTGATCAATCGAAAAATTCGTTTAGACTATTCCAAAGAAGCGTTTATTTGATTCAACCAAATCGTTCTCTCTGTATAGCGCTGGTCTACGAATTGATACATATTTTCTTCGCGTAAACTCTTGTTAAAAGTAAAAAGTTTCATTGAATTCGTCTATTATACAGGGTGAGCCATTTTAATCGACGGATCCAAATTGCTCCTAAAATACGCCAGCTATAAAAAAATGGCCAAGACAAAAATTGTAGAGGACAACGGGGGTCATTTTACCGTGCTAATAATTTTGACCTTTAGATCGATTTTCAAGTCATTCGAAGATCAAAGTCATTTTTTTAAATTAGAACCTCTATTTTTGACACCGGATTCGAAAAGAGCAGAAAATTTCACGTTAAAAATGATATTTAGATTTTTTTTTCTGAGTCCAAGAAGGTCAAATAAAAAATTATTGAAAACAATTTAGAAGCTGTTAATGTTAATTTTAAAGATTTTTATGCATGATAAGTGTTTCACGGTACTAACAAATACTAATAGAAGAAAAGTTGCGAAACGTTGTCATTCCATTTCCGAAATTGATGCGCAATAATCTCACTTTAATATGATTATTAATAAGGCGTAATAAATAAAATTTTAAAAGTAAAAACAAACACTTTTAAAGTATTTAACAATTTTTCTTTTTTGAGTGCAGGGTAACTTGAAAAATTTTTTTTAAATATGGCTAACTATCCTCCACGTCCACGTCGTTGTTTCCGGGTAACGCTAAAAGTATTGAATTAACATCTTCCAAGTTCTTGATTTGACCTTCTTGGACTCAGAAAAAAAATCTAAACATCATTTTTAACATAAAATTTTCTGCTCTTTTCGAATCCGGTGTCAAAAATAGGGGTTCTAATTTAAAAAAATGACTTTGATCTTCGAATGACCTTGAAAATCGATCTAAAGGTCAAAATTATTAACACGGTAAAATGATCCCCGTTGTCCTCTACAATTCTTGTCTTAACCATTTTTTTGTAGCTGGCTTATTTTAGGAGCAATTTGGATCCGTCGATTAAAATGGCTCACCCTGTATATTCACAGTGCAGAATCGCCCAAATTGATCCTCCCATTATTTTTGGCTCTTGTTCTTAGACCTTCGCCAATAGATTATTCGGCGTAATGGCGTGGACGATACCAGTTTTCGTGGCTCTGTCCACGTTCGGTGCGGTCAACGGCATCCTGCTCACGTCCTCGCGGCTCTTCTACGCGGGCGCCTGCGAGGGTCAGATGCCGGAGATATTGACTATGATCCAAATCTCGAGGCTCACACCCACGCCCGCCGTACTGTGCATGGTGAGTAGCGCTTTTCTTCAGACAGCTTCCCAGCTCTTTTCCGTCCTCACCCTCGACGTGGAATTCACTCGGGCTCGGGCTGAATGAAATACAGGTTTAGCGCTGAACGCTACTAACAAGTAAACCTACCCAAGTGTTATAGTCCGATTTTGATAAGCTTTTAACATGCTGTAGTCTAGGTCTAAATAAGAGACACATACATGTTTTATACATGCCTAGATAAGATGGTGTATTTTTACGGCAGATAAGAGAATGAAACACCCTCTTGAAAAAAATCGGTTTTAATATTTCTGAACGAATATTATCGGAACGGTAAATAATACAAAAAAAAAGTTTCAAATAAAAGTTTTATGGGTTTTAATGAGCTTTATAACAATGCACTCAGATTTTTCGAAAATATCATTTTTTTCGAAATCCCTTTTTCTCTCCTTAATTTTGTAAAATTTGAGTGCATTGTTATAAAGCTTATTAAAACTTTTATTTGAAATTTTCTTTTGTATTATTTACCGTTCCGATAATATTCGCTCAGTAATATTAAAACTGATTTTTTTCAAGAGAATTTTTTCACCTTTTACCGGCCGTATGTACGAAAAAGAAAGATTTATTAATACATGGACAACTAAAATTATTAACTGCAAGAGTAAATTTTCTTGCTTTTATAGCAAAGTTACTTAGTTGTGATAGCTAAAAGATTTGCTAATATATACAGGGTATCCCGTCACTATCGCATTATCTCTTAAGGGCGGATTCCTGAAGTAATTTGAATAAGAGAATCCTAATACAAAAATGGCGAGGCTAGAATATTTTTCAAATTATAAACGATTAAAATTGACCAATTATACTGGCTAAAGTACATGCGCTCAGGTACAGTACAACAGAATGATACAGATGCATGCACATGTCGTCCCTTTTCCAAATATTGATACGGAAGTTCTAAACATACAATAATATATGTAATAATAATCTTTTCTATCATTTAAATAAACATATCGCAAATAATAACAATCTCGTCAAAATGTTATTAATAAAATATCACACAATACATTTATGAAAATCAGTAAGCTGTCACACACTTGACGTTTCTTTCAGAGATTTACAACTAATTTCATATCTTATGCAAATTCTCACTTATGTGCCTGCACCTGTACCATTGTGTGTTGTACCGTAGCTGAGCGCGCGTACTTTAGCCAATATACACGCAAAAAAAGAACTAGCTTTCAGAGCTAAAAAATAGCTGGCAGATAAGATGTGTCACTGAAATAGAGACAGCTAATGTCGATACTACCGAAGCTAAATTTATTCGTTGTTAAACTTAGGCGCTACAGCGAGAAATATTAACTGCTAGAAATAAATGACTGTAACAAATGATTGTAGCTGTATGGCAAACTTCTTTAATATATGCATACGATAAGAAATTTACGAATAACTGCCATTTTCTTAGATACTTGAAATAATGTATTTTAAATGTCACCTAATTTGTATTTCATAGCGAATGCATATTAGCCAATTCTTGACAGTGACAGCTAAACGATTAGCCTTTTGACTAAGTTTGAATCAGCTACCGTGGTTTAGCTGATATTACTAACCCTTATAGAAATATCATACTAAGAATCATTGATAATTACTTATTATCCAGTATTTTTAATACTGAAAATAAGTAATTATCAATGATTCTTAGTATGATATTTCTATAAGGAAAGTCATTTTTTTGCGTGTAATTGGTCAACTTTAATCGTTTGTAATTTGAAAAATATTATAGCCTATAGACATTTTTGCATTAGAATTTTTTTCTTCAAATTATCTCAGAAATTCGTCCTTAAGAGATAATGCGATAATGACGGTACACCCTGTATATTAGCAAATCTTTTAGCTATTACAACTAAATAACTTTGCTACGAAAGCAAGAAAATTTGCTCCTGCAGTTAATAATTTTAGTTATCCATATATTAGCAAATCTTTTTTTTCCGTGTGGGCACGTACAAAACAATATGTGTCTCTTATTTAGCCCTAGATTACAGCATGTTAAAAGCTTATCAAAATCGGAGTGTACTTAGGTAGATTTATTTGTAAGTGATAGATTTACTCGTGTGTGTAGTTGATCTAACGATCGTACACGATCGATCGTATTAACGCGTCCTATAAAATAATACATCGGCAATCAATAATATATTAAGTATTAGTTAGCAACGTCAGGTACAACATAGCGACGTAGATGAATTCGCCGGATGAAGTTGTTACATACAAAGTGCCCACGACACTACGTCAACTAACAGTGACATCACATTAGCATTGGACAACGAGTTCAATGTAAATTAACAGCAATATGAAGCAATGTAATATAACATGTCGTACATAACAGTTATACTACTGGATGAGAAATTATAACATTCACATATAATGTTACTGTTAGTTGGTGTGTGTGTTTGCTGGATGTGCACAGAAGAATATCATTTTACTGTTAAAAAAAAAGCGGGTACTCAATTTGTTGTACTTCTTTTAAGTAATAATCATCTTTTCAACAAAGAATATTTTCCTTATAATGGGTTTAAAATACATACGTCACGAATTTTAGAAAAACTCACTTTCATGTGCTCAAAACAGGAATTAATTTTTTTTACAAAAATATTATAAAACTTTACTTTAAAGAAGAAAAGTTAGTTTCACTTTATGTAACAAACGATCCAAATTTTTCTTTTAATTTAATATTCTTGATTAAACTTACCAGTATTCAGAATACATCTTGAATAATTTTGATGCTTATGACAAACTTATGGTAGATTTGCGGATATAAAAATTTATGTAATTCTCTTGAAACAAATAATATTTATTTTAATGCATGACTGAAAAGAAATTAAAACAATTACTCGTCGGTTTCTTACTATTGCACAAGTTAATAATATTTATATACTTACTCCTTTTGCTACAAATCTTCCATTTCATTGTAATCTCTCTCTGTTCTGCTTTAACCAAAAAATTACATTGTTAATTCGCGGTGGATTGATTGAGAGCTTCCTCGAAAATTGGCATCGCTCTTTTGCTGTTCAATTTGGGAAATTTTTCTCGATACGTTCATAATCAACGAGTTTAAACACACGAGTGATTCAATCTTGTTGATCAACGTAATTACCGACGATGGCAAATAAAAATTCAGTGTAATCTCGGCTGATTGTTTTCGAGCTCGCTCGCATCTCGTGCTCGTCACGATGGTAGAACGTCGCCGGGACTGAAAATATTGATTTTCACGAACGTTAATCGAAAATTCCCTGACAATCTCATTGCAGGCTCTGCTATCCATGTTGTATCTGTGCTCTTCCAACATCTCCGCTCTCATCAATTACGTCGGCTTCGCTACTTGGGTAAGTAGAACATTCTTTCTCTCGCTCTCTTTCTCTTCTCACTTCCAGTATAAAACACTCCCGACTAAGACTCTAAGCCCGTATTACTAGTTGTCGCTTGAAACTTATCTCACGTGAAATATTTTTATTTAGAGTTAGAAGCAAGATTAGAATAGAGATCGAATTTTTTCAGTTGAATTATGATATATGTGGACACTTGTGTGTCAACTGGAAAACTCTCGTCTAACAAATCTGAGTATCTCACTTGAAACGACTATCAAGTGATAATAATTAACACGGACTTTAGACCCATTTTTATCGAGCTCCAGTTAAACTAACCGTTTTAGTAACTTTGCAAAATTCCAACTAAAGCTGCTGTTTGGAAAAAAATGGAAAATGAAGAGCTATAACTATAGATTGATAACGCTGCAGCTAACGTCCTAATATGATAGAAAATTTAGTTAGGACGTGCACTTTCCTTAGAGAAATATCATACTAAGAATCATTGATAATTACTTATTTTCAGTATTAAAAATACTGGATAATAAGTAATTAATGATTCTTAGTATGATATTTCTATAAGGATTTTATATTTAACTGTAGCGTTACTAATCCACATTTATAACTCCTCACTTTCCACTTTTTTTCCAACAACAGCTTGTGTCCTGTAAAGTTGCCAAAACGGTTAGTTTAAACAGAACTTGATAAAAGTGGCCCTTAGTCACTCAAAAGGTTTGGTTACATTGAATTAATTTCTGGTAAAATATGGACGAATCAGAAATTCCGGAGTTAAAGTTACTAAAGTTCTGTTCAAGTTAATAAAATTTCTCATTAAATCAACAAAATTCTGATAGTATCAACAGGAATTTTCTGCTTCGCTCATATTTCACCAAAGATTGGTTAATCCAACCACTTTTCTTTCCTGCGCCGAGATATAATCAGTATAGGCGGAAACGTAAAGAGAGATGGCTGTCAATATAACGACCTTCTCGTTCGAATTTTCCCTCAGCATAATTAACGCGAAGCAACGCGCGACTTTCCCCCGTTCATTGTTCAACGCGCGAATAATCACACACGTTTAATCACCAAGATTCGTGATCATCACGATCGCAAGATACTCGCGATCTCAGTGAGATTCATACAACATGCTCACGGCAAAATCATTAGTTCGACCGGACGAGTGATAATTTTCTAATTCCCATTCCGCGCGGCGTAATTGGCTTCGTCGGGCCACATCTCGCGTACACAAGGCCTCTTTGTTTCCAAAATAGTCACTTCGGAGCACGAAATGACCCTTATTATTCTGTCGTGCCGTATAAGACATCTCGCACGTGTCCACCGGTAAATATTTCTAACTTATCGACTTACATATCTTCGATCAAAATTCGGCATATCGCTGTCGTGTAGCTGACTTTCTGCGATGCAGATGATTGACAAAAATTAGAAATTTAAAAATAGAATTTTAAAAGAGCTTAGACACAATTTTTCCCTGCTCCTATCAAAGCCTCATGAAGACAGATCCACTTAAGTCCTGCACAGAGATGTAACGCTCTTAAAAATTAGCGCCTAGACTTGTAAATCTGACTAAACTCTTGGTACACTTAACTAAACTCTACTGCCTGTAATATATTCATAGAATATCAGATTTGAATATATTCAGGAATTGAGAATATTCGTATTTTATAAGAATCTTCATAGAATACTTTGTGCTATCTGGGAATTTTTCGGCTGCAATTTTCTATAGAGATATCTTTAAAATATCTAAGGATATTCTTATTAATCAATGGTTAAATCGAGTCGGTTAATTTCGATTTTTGCAGCTGAGTATAGGCGTCTCCGTGCTGTGTCTGCCTTGGCTCAGATGGAGCCAGCCGAACTTGCCGAGACCGATCAAGGTGAATCTTATCTTCCCATTCTTTTACATCCTAGCTACTCTGTTCGTCACCGTGGTGCCGATGTACGCCAGTCCCATTGAAACAGGTGAGCGTGCGAGCGTTAGCAAAGTGCATCGCGTGATCACCAGATTCCGGGTTAGTGTCTCACGAGAACGATTCTCCATTCTAGGATACGGCTGTCTGATGATACTCTCTTCTGTACCTGTCTACTTTGCCTTCATCGCGTGGAAAAACAAGCCCAAGTTCTTCCAGCAGGGAGTCGGTAAGTTGCAAGCAAAACGTCACGCGTTCAATGTCGCAACACTTAGCAAAGTTCGTCGATTTTTCGAAAAAGAAAGTAGAAAACATTCTTACACGGAGAAAAATAATTTCGCTCTTTTAGCAAAATCGTTGTTGCTACTGCATATTCGTAGTGACATCAAAAAAGTTTAGTTGACGTAACTAATTTTACAAATTATTCGTTATCAGAGCAGAAGTAGTTTCGTTGCTAGGATAGAAAAAATTTGTTGAGTGTATTTGTCCTAAGAATTATGTTAATTTGCTATTGATGCAAAATAATGTATTCTTAACAAATTTATTTGCTATCGAAGCAAAACTGCAACTGCTTATACAGGGTGTCCGGTAATTGATTGAGCAATCGCCGTGTACGGGTAGAACGGGTCAAAATAATCATAAAAGTTATATACTATTCTGAAATTTTCTCAATATTTATTCCGTAATTAGTTAAAATGTATAAATGAATGAGCTCACGAGAAGCGGTAGGACAGGCTTTGTGTGTAAAAGAAATGGCTTACCTCTTAGACTGAGAGAAAAATGTATTATATTTGGAACTATAACCCCTTATAGAAATATCATACTAAGAATCATTGATAATTACTTATTATCCAATATTTTTAATACTGAAAATAAGTAATTATCAATGATTCTTAGTATGATATTTCTATAAGGGATGGCATAATAAAAATATTATAGTTAGGAATATAATTTTTATAGTAAATGTTACCATAATATTTGTAATATTTACAATATAAGTATAGTATAACTGACCCGTGTAAAATTTTTACCAAGAATTATAATTATTTGAAATAAAAAATATGGTAAAGTGGCAAATATTGAATGGTAAAAGAAATTAACTATTTTATATAGTCAATACAATTGGAATATTTGGCAATTATAGGTACATGTAACTATATTCCTAAAAGGTGCTTTACCATATATATAGAGTAATAAGATGGTGACTATAAATCTGTGTTCATTCTACTACATCTTCATGTTTAGATGAACTATAAATATATGTTTGAGGCCAAAACGAACTATAAAATATAGTGAGATTATAGTTATTCCAACTATTTTTTTCTCTCAGTGTAGCAACGATGAGTAAACAGATGATTTCGAGGCGAAGTAACAAGCGACACGTATACGTTACTCCGCCTCGAAATCATCTGTTTACTCATCGTTGCTAAGAGGTAAGCCATTTCTTTTACACACAAAGCTTAAAGTCCTACCGCTTCTCGTGAGCTCATTCATTTATACATTTTAATTAATTACGGAATAAATATTGAGAAAATTTCAAAATAGTATATAACTTTTATGATTATTTTGACCCGTTCTACCCGTATACGGTTGCTCGATCAGTTACCGGACACCCTGTATAAATCCATCGTGGTTCTTATAGCAAAATAATTTGTAGATTCAGCAAATTATATCCAACAAATAATAATTAGTACTCTTAGCAAATCTTTTTGCTGTCCATATAATAACGAAAAGATTTTGCTAGACCAGTAGAAAATTTGCTAGGCCAGCAAATTATTTTTCTCCGTGTTGTCGCTTTTGTAAGATGTGGTGTTTTCGTGAGAATCGGATCGTCCAATACTGTCTTTGAAGGCGAAGCTACAAAATTCAGCGTCATAAGCATTAAATTGATCGATATATCACTTTAGAAGATTTCTCTCACTCACTCACTTGAAGCGTAATAATAGCCATTACAGGTGTAACATTTCAATTTACAATCGTGCAAATCGCTCTCACGAACGTGGCACTTCGTGCGTCTCTGTTTAACCGATTTGTTCCCACAGGCGCCGTCACCCAAACTTTGCAGAAGCTGATGGTAGTCGTGAGGCCCACCACTAAGGTTCAAAACACACTATAACATAATTCTACTCTTGTCATGTCACGCATGCTTAGCACTCATTCGTTCTTTTTGCTATCCGGTTTTCATCTCAGGTGACACATTTACTACTATCTCACAGAGACTTAACTATTATCTCAGTCTATGAAGTTCTAAAAGATATCTTAAAGATGTCTTCAAAAAATAAGACGTCTTTAAGGCATCTTTGAAGAGTTTGTGCTGGGATATTTTTCTCTTTTTTCTATCTCTCTATTCCATCTTCGTAGATCACTCTTGATCGATTCACTGTGCATGTCTCTCTCTAACACTCAAACATGAACTTCTTTTTTGCTGTAATGCGTAGAGGAAACTGGGACTTAGTTGGCTACCGCGGTAAGTTGGCAAAACCGATTATTTCTAATATATATAACAAGTTACAAAATTAAGTAAGCAAGATTTTTAAACATATCAAAGGTGACTTTGAAATCCTTGCTTTCTTGACTCTGAAATTTATTAAAGAACAATAGAAAAAATCGAGTTTGCCAACTTTTACTCAATGGCCAAATAGCTCTAGTCTCCCCTATCCATATCTCGCTGTGAAGTATTCTCAATCGATTGCATATTCATCCTCGAGGGATACTTTATCGCATCTCGCTTTCATCATTCAGAACCTTCTCTCTTAAAGTGAATCAGTGAAACATCATTGAAAGCAGTATACACTGATTTGCAGCTATAAGTACAGCACTGAAACTGCTCAGTACTATACTTATAACTGATATCAGTGACTATCCACTGATTTACTTTAAAAGAGTTCGCTTGACGCCTTCGCCTGCTGTTCATCTTGCTTCTTATTCCCTCAGTTTGAAATACCAACTAATTTTGTGAGTACACCGCCGCACAGTCGCAACGCCACGCTTATTTGTTCTACGGACGATGATCCACTCCAAGCAAAATTCTCATATTTGCGGAATACTTTAATATCGTCGTCGCAGACATCGAAGCTTAGGTAAAGATTCGGTTTCAAAGGCGAATATCACAAGACAGAGATTTCTCTTTCGTAATTACTTTTCCGATACTGCAGTGTTTCTGATATCTTTCGTTTTCTCGAACAGAGATTATTTTTGCGAGAAATGATTCTTCAGATCAAAGATAAAGAAAATTTGGACACGCATACTCGAAGTCAAAGAAGATATTCAAGTATTTCCTCGAATTATCGTGTATCTTCTAAATTTCTTGAAGTGAAATCTCACTCAAAATAAGAGTGAAAAGTGACAATATTTTCATTCAAAACGATAGTAGAAATACTGCCACCCGAAATCGCAAGAGTGAATGTTCTACTCAAACTGCAGGCCGTTTTACATTGAAAAAGTAGCAGTAACAATGTTGGTGGCAAAAAACTAATAACAAAAATGTCTTTAGCAAAACTATGTTCTCTAAAAAAACGACTTACTGAATGTTTCTAACAAAATATTCGTTTAATAATTTGTGAAAAACACAAATGTCACCCCGACATAGTTAAAACAACTATTTACCATGATTAAACTGCTAATATTGTTAACAATATTGTTAACAAAAATGATATCCTCAAATATTTTCAATAAAGTTAGAAAACTTTGAATAATTAATAATCTGTTATTAGCAAATGTGCACTGAGAGAAGAATTTAGTAAATATTATCAAAATTTGGTTACTATTACTAAATGGTAGACGTAAATATAGCGGGCCAAAGTTATGCCAATACTTATTAATTAATTTAGTTCTGTAAAATAAATTATTTATTTGACAGAAGTAAAATTTATTTGCTTCCAGAATATATTTGGTAAATAAAACTTATTGAATAGTTGAGCAAAATAAGCGATTTTGTAGTAGTTACAAAATTTTTAGTAGGTTCAACCAACCATCTGTAATAATAGATATTGAAACGATGTAATAGCTGCAAATGAATGAATTTTTCGTTGTGCTGCAATAAAATATACTTATACTGGTAACAAAATAGAACTCGTACCTACTGAATTTTTTATTACATGGAATATAACAATTTCATAACAATTATCAAATATTTGCTCATAACTGTAATATATTTCATATTAAATATTTAACATTAAGTAACTATTACTAAATTATTTAATTAATGTTACTGTGAATGCAATTACGTCATATTTCCGATCTATTAAATATTTGGTAATTATTATCATATTTAGTATTAGTTACTAAGGATTCAATGAATTTCTGTAACTAAATGCAGTTTATTATAGTCTACCAGTCTTTTAGTTACCAATCTTTTCTCTCAGTGTGTGTTATATATAAATTTGACAACTTTTATAGTACGATTAGTCGAGTTAAGACAAAAATTTTGTTATTAATAGTATTGTTAACATATATCTAGTTCAATTTTCCGCTAATAACATTTGCCTTCACTGCCTTTTGATCTAGACCGCCAAGTAATGGATTGCAGAAGTAATATTTTTGACAATATAGGTGACAAAGTTATCGGCATATTATCAAAATAAATAACTCTTGTTAATAACATTTGTTTTCTGATGTTTCCAAAATGTTGAAGACAAATATTGTTAATATTTTTCATTCTAAAGTAACAAGGTTAACAGCAAACTGTGATTAACTTGTTTTGTAACTTGTTATAAACAATTATTTTCAGTAATTTTAAGCGAGATACGCATTATTAGTAGTGTTACTGCTGGTGCAAATCAGTCTTTAGAGAGGATCCCGTCATGAGCGAATATTTCAGTCGTTTAGAGTGAATAACGGTAGAGCATATCAGATTCACTTTTCAATTTCGATTTAGAGTGAAGATTCACTCTAAATCATTCAAATTCGAGTGACTGGTCACTCTATTATTCGAGTGGAATTTCACTCAAAGAAACTTCGGGGATATAACGGCGACAACGGCATCGTTCCCTTCATCCGTTTCACGAGAGAAATGTCGTTTAACGCGTAGACGATTTATAATCGGGCGGCGCGAATCGCGCGCGTCGTGACTTTCGCTTAAGTTGGCCAATACATTGTTAAGATTTAATTTTACACTTCACACATCCCGACATCACACATACATACACCGAAACACAACGATCACACTCGGGCGTGCTGAAAACGAATCTCTCTCTCTTTCCCTCCCACTCTCTCTTTCTCAAACCTTTCTAAATTGCATTACAAAACATCCTTTTTGATGAAATCTTACTCAGTACTCTATGGTGTATGTAACGTGAACTATAAGTATTGAGTAAGATTTTGTTCAAAAAGGACGTTTCGAAGTACAATCCTAACAACTCTCAAAGCATCAGCGACTAACGACGCGCTGGCGACTTCGATTTCGACTCCCCGCTAGAACCGCATTCGCATTCTACCGCGAGTCGTCCCGACACGAGTTATCCTAACACGGCACTCGCTTTTGTTGCAGTAAGTGCGACGAGGCTATTGCAAAAGATAATGCTGGTCGTCGGCAAGACGAAACCCGCTCAGGTGTAATCAGCCAAGATGAAGACCAGCTCGAGATCGAGATGTCGAAGGCGAGCCACTTGGGCGAACGAAAGTCGAGGAGGAAGCCTGTCGATCTGCCAGCCAAAAGAGTCAACTTCTCCGTCCTCCTGAGGAAAATGAAAGCCTCCTCGCAGAAGATGGAAGTCCTCGGAAATGGAGGTCAGCTGAGAGTCCGGCTCGACGAGTCGACCAAGTTGCTTTCGACTCCACGAAGGGGCGAGTAAAAGGGCGTCCTAAGACAACAGACAGCCATATTGTATCAGGACGTCGGTTGGAGGAGAGAAGAGAGAGAGAAGTAGCTCGTCTTCCGGAATCTCCGGATCTCGTCCCCCGGTTGTTGCGGACTCATAGCACCAGGACCTGCCCGCCCGATCACGAAGTCTCGAAACAAGGCTGCTACCTTTCGCCACGGCGAAGGGACATACGCGATGTATCACGACTGCACGGTTTCACGTTAATCATCATAACGATCATCATTCATTTCGCCTGAGAGTCTCGTCTTCTATGCGACGGGACTCGTCGTTCGCGGAAGGGATTTCCGCGAGTATAAGTTAAGCATAATCAATATCGATTAGTCGTTAATTTGGATTAGCGCTATCAGTATGGACCAAGGTACTGTGTACTTTCACACGCACTATGCGTCATGTCAACGCCGTAACATTGTAATTAAAAATGTAAAATTACCATCAGATTCAAAGTGACGATTACTTACGGCAAAATTACGGTAAGATGATAACTTTGATAACTTTTAAGATGGTATTAGTAATTTTTATAAAATTCCATGTTTTTCATAGTTTCATGCAAATATTTGTGATTTCCGCACTAATGCAGCCTTACAACTATACGCGTGAGGACAAAATTCTGAAGATAAAACAACATTCTTTTTATATTCTCATCTAATATATATCTGGTAATCTCTGAATTTTGTCTCTCTTTCAGATGAAAAAAAAAAGTAACTATTTATAATCCTTTGAGATTAGTAAAGTTTTCTTTTCTTAAAATATTATTAATAATTTTTAATTATATATCACAGTCTCTAGTCGCTGAAACAGCAAGATAATAAATGAAAATGCTATAAGCCGGATAATATAAAAAATATAAATTGTTTGCGAGATATGAAAAATATAGATTGAAACTTTACAACTGTTTTAAGTTTCTCTAGTTACTATGTATCTACTTTCCTAATTACTATATGCTATATATATGATATCAATATACAATATCATAATATTTTATAGAAATTTTCTGTAATTTTTTTCTAAATGACCATTTTTTTCTAGTTTTTCAAAATTAATCGAGTAATTTACCGTAATTTACCGTAAGTTATTGTCATTTTTATCTCTAGCTGTAATTGAAGTTACTTGCACGGTTTTCAGTCTTAACAACCGTAAGGACGAAAATCTTGCTAAATAAGTCGGAATAAGGAAATTTTAGATAATAAGTCGTTATATGCGCGCGTTTACACGGTGGCTAAAACGAATTAATGACGATTTAGTGACATCCATTATACCGACATCCAGATACCGTAGTCTACGTTCACAGGACTGGCATGAAATCAGTTTGATAATTTTCAATGTTGCAATATATAGTGTTACATACTATATAGTATAATGTAATACTTATAACATACACTGAGAAAAAATATTTGAGAACATATTTGTGAGGATTTATTTTGAAGAATAGTAATAGTTATAAGTAGTAATTTATTTTGTACTAATTATAACTTATAATTATAAATGTAATAGCTATAACATTATAATGTATTATAATTATAAATGTTATAGCTATAACAGCTTATAATTGTAATATACTGAAAAATAAAAAAAATATTTAAAGATTTCTACTTTATTTCTACTGGAATAAAAATTTATTTTATAGAAATAAACTTTATTTCACAAAAATAATGTTTACTTCGCAGAATTAAATTTTATATTCCACAAATAAGTATTCAAGTATGCTTCTCAGCACATTATTTATACATTGAGGGGAAATATTTTTAAAATTATATTCGTCGAACCCCAGCCAGAAATGATTCGTTGATCAATGTCGAAACGATATCGAATTGACATCGAAATCGTGAAATCGACGTCGATTCGACATTGTTTCGACATCGATTGACGAATCATTTCTGGCTGGGAAGTTGATTTCTGCGAGTAAGCTTTATACAGTCTGCAAATAAAATTTCAAGTATTCTTTCTCAGTGTACATGTAACACCGCCAACTACAACATCGGAAATTGTTATTGACTTTATGCTGTTTTTATGTAAAAGACTACGGACATTAGCGAGCCGGTTTTAGCTGGCTGTGTAAACGTAACCGGTGTTGAGGCACATGTGACTCTTGGTGATTTTCACGAATAATGTTCGAGTTGGCCTCGAGATTCACTCGAGTGCAAGAGAAGGCATTAATCCGCGACTCGTGAAACAACTTAATCATGCCCGCGTGTGTCCGAGTCGCATTTAGATAAAACGATACCTCTCGCGAGCAGCTCCGGGAAGAACACCTGGACAAGATAATTTACGAGCAGGTATTTCCCGGACAATTCGCGCGGGCGGATACTGATAGCGCTATATCACACGCTATATCTATCGAGTGTGTCGTAAGAAACGTTACTTTAGATTAATTGTATTGCGTATCCTCGACATGGGTCGTCGGGATCAACCGCGGCGGCTGTCCGCGCCGCCGTAACGACACAGATTTGATTTCGATCGCAGGGGATTAGTCTTATTTATTGCCCTGACGGCGAATACGTGTCATTCGTATTCCATCGCGTTTGTATCAAGATCGACGAGGAAGAGAAGAAAATAGAGCAAAAATGCTGCGCGCGAATGATTCGCACACGCCACGAGCCGTTCGTTCGGCAAATGAGGAAACGGCGAAGGGAATTTTGCGCGAGTGCAGATCTCATCGCGATTATACAGGGTGTCCCGCCACTACCGCATTATCTCTTAAGGACGGATTCCTGAGGTAATTTGAAGAAAAAAATTCTGATGCAAAAATGTCGAGGCTAAAATACGATTTAAATTATAATCAATTAAAGTTGATCAATTAAAGTAATCAATTGACCAATTATATTCGCTAAAGTGCGCGCGTTTACACTGAGAGAAAAATATAGTTACCTTTGGCGTCAACTATACGTTTTTGTGATTTTAACCAGAAAAATAATTGGAAGAACCATTGTTTCAGTAAGTGTTATTAGAAAGATGGGTTTTCTAATTATTTTTCTGGTTAAAATCACAAAAAAGTATAGTTGACGCCGAAAGCAACTATATTTTTCTCTCAGTTATGGTGTAACACACAATGGTACAGGTGCATGCACATAAGTGAGAATTTGCATAAGATATGAAATTAGTTGTAAATCTCTGAACGAAACGTGAAATGTATGACAGCTTATTGATTCTCATAAATGTATTGTGTGATACTTTATTAATAACATTTTGACAAAACTGTTATTATTTGTTGACATGTTTATTTAAATGAACGTTTAAATAAATGAATGTTTAGAAAAAAGATTATTATTACATACATACAGATTATTATTACATACATTGTTGTATGTTTGGAACTTCCGTATCAATAATTGGAAAAGGGACGACATGTGCATGTACCTGTACCATTGTGTGTTGTTCCGTACCTAAACGCGCGTACTTTAGCCAGTATAATTGGTCAACTTTAATCGTTTATAATTTGAATAAAAGTATTATAGCCTCGCCATTTTTGCATTAGGATTTTTTTGTTCAAATTACCTCAGGAATCCACCCTTAAAAGATAATGCGGTGGTAGCGGGACACCCTGTATATCTTTCTCCGTGCGATCGCAAATCGTCGAGAATCGGCGGAAAAAAGACCGGCCGAATCACCACGAAAGAAGCCCGGCCTTGGCGCGAAACGCGCGCGCCGGAAAGTCGCGCGGTGTGTCGACTGTTGTTGTTATTGCGAATAAGCTTCGTTCAAGCGCCGTTAGTTTAGCCGTAGCGTTCGCTCGACTAGCGATAGCGTTTTTGCCGTGTGCGTTTTGCGATTCTCGTTGTAACGTTCTTTGTTACCTCGGCTTCCGTCTCTTTCCGGCGGTCAGCTTCGTTTCTGCATCGAGGAAAAAATATCTAAGCAATGAGAAGTATTTATTCGCACGATGGGCAATAAAATAACATATTTACTTATATCAATATAAAATATTCTTTTCAAGTAAGAAAAATACACATTTTCAAATAAGAAATATTTCCAGCAAGAGATATCTTCCAAAAGAATATATACTTTTTCTTATTTAAAATAGTAATTCTCATTCTTATTTTTAACTTTAACTTTTCATGAAAGCAATTGTTTATTCTGTTTAAGAAAAAGAATTTAGATTTAAGTAAATATGTTTATTATTGCTTGCCGAAAAATTTTTGCTTACTTAGATAATTTTTCCTTTAATGTGGATCCGAGTTCAACGCGGATCTCGACGTCGTCCGTACACACACCGTCAAATATTCCACATTTGCGACATCGTTTCTCTTCGTTCCACACTTCTTTCGTTCAGGTAGTACACGCTAGGGATGCAAATATTCAAAAACAATATCGATATATGCATTCGAAGAACACGTATTCCACGTGCCATTTCGATTACGTATATGCGCGTTACGTACTGTGACGGCCAGTTTTTCAATGGTAGTTTAATCCTCGACTTGAACTTAAGCTACCACTGAAAAATTCGCCCTAAGAACAATACATTCCTTTCCATTCCTTTCCATTTCTTATCGAGCAGTCGAAGTTTTTACCGCAAATCCACTGCACGTTCGAAATAAAGACTTTTCAAGGGAACAGTTGAGGGAAGGAACGATGAAACAACTGTGATTACATAGACGATAAATTACTTATTTTTATCCTTCGTATATTCTGATCCTTTTGTCGTAACAACGACAGATCGCGTGGTTCTTTTTAGTGCAGTTTGACACTCAAAGCGATCAGCGGAGGTAGATCAGTTGGGAAGATTAATCGATTAAAATTTTCTTTCATCAAACAATCGACAAATCGATAGCCAATATTACTCGTTTTTTCAGTCATCATATATATATATAATTATGAATAATTTATTCAACTGATGAAATTAGTAATTAATGTATAATCTACCATATTGAAGCTTGAGTAATAATTAAATTCTCCAATCGGTGAGATTATTTGTGATTTTATACATGATTGATTCATTTAACTATCCCAAACAACACAAATATCTGAAGACAGACTTCAGTATATTGTCTGCTTAATGACTAGATTTTGCGTCCTCATACAACAAGGATTTATCAGCATATAAAAGAAGTCGTTAGATGCCTTGAAAATTGCGACAATATTGCAACGATATTTTGATGCCATGAAAATTGTTGCTTATTATG